CGGCCCAATTGGCCCACAAGACCACGCCAAGACGGCCCAAGAAGCCTCCAAGAGGGCTTCAAGACGACCTCAGAGCCCCCCAGGCTGGCGCAAGAGGCGCCCAAGACGGCCCAAGAGGGCTCCAAGACTGAAAATCTGAGCCTTCCGCCCCAAGAGGCCCCCAGGAGGCCCCAAGAGGCGCCCACGAGGTCCCAGTAGGCCCCCAAGAGGCCTCCAAGAGGCACTATCAAGGCCCCAAGTGGCCCAAGGAGGTCCCCCACAGGCGCTAAAACTGCCCCCAAGAGGCCGCAAACCTGCCTCCAAAAGGCCCCGGAGAGGCCTCCCACCAGATCCCAACGAACATCCAACAGGTTGCATACCCCCAACCCAGGCTCGGTGGCGGGATGGGCTGAAGGCTGTTAGATAGTGTACAGACTGACAACTAAGAACGGCTCCACATTCAGCGCTGGCGCGTGAGGGCTTCTAGCTGAGAGTAAACGACTGGGCGAAAAGTGCGCGCAAATTTCGGCGGGCGGCCGGTGCTAGAATTTCTGGTTCCAAATGGCGGCCGATGTCAGTGGGCGGTCAGGTTCCCGAATTCCCCGTTCCGAATCCAGGCTTTCTAAGACGGTAAGTAACATGGAGGTAGAATCTGATATACATACATACATGAAGAAATAGAGAGAGAAGAGAGTACGGAAGACCTGCCAGAGGTGATAAAGCACAATTGAGAAGGGAAGACAGGAGACATACCTATACAAATATATACATGTATATATGTATCGGAGAGAGCGCGCCCGTGGTACACTCCCAAAGGGGGTGGGTCCCCCCCCCTTAATTAGCTACCCGGCCCCTTGGACCTCCCTGCCAGAAGCCTCCCCCTTCGGACGCTCACAAGAAGCAGGAGCATGAGGGAGCGCAGAATGATGACAATCAGAAGTGGCAGACTCGCCACGGTGCCCCCCCTGACGCTGAGGCGTGGTAAAATGCCGAGGGCGATCTGAGAGACGCCCCCCCCTCCAGGGCAGCACTCAGGCGCGTGCACCGCACCCGCCTTCCCTCGCAAGCAACAAACTCGCAAGAACAAACGGGCCCGAACTCTGGAGGCCACGGGCGTTAACAATCGTGGATCCGCGCCCTCGGGTCCGCGATCCCTTGCAACAAAACGATGGGCCCGCGCTCCCGAGGTGGATCCTCGCTCCCGGGCTGCCAATGTGGCCGAGGGAGCCTCCACCACAGCCCAGGATGGCCCAACATGCCCCCAAGACGGCACAAGAGGCCGCTGAGACGCGCAAGAGAGACACAAGAGATTCCTGCAGGGCTCGACGAGCCCTAACTGTTGGAATGGTGTTCATTTCTGCACAAGTTGAGCGTCTTCACCTTTTCGGGCTTCCGTCAGCTGCAGACGACCCTAGAGGCCTCCAAGATGGCCCCACGACTGCCAAAGAGGGCCCCCATGTATCCCAATACTTCTCCAAGCCAACACACAGGCATACTTCCAGACGGAAACACCTTGTAGGAGCCGTGCCATCGCCGCACTGTGCGTAGGGATCGGCGATCCTCGTACATGCGCGGCTGCTTGCTGCACGACCAATAGCAAGGAGCTGCCCAATATGTTGCTGGCGAGCAGTTGCATCGAAACAATCCCACCTGAGGTCAGGGCGTATGTGGTTTAACGGATCAGCTCTTGCAACTCCTCTTCTTCCCCTTTGGGAAGGACGTTCTGACTGCTCCGTCGTCCTGAACGCCCCCTCTCCCACCCGAACGGCCGCCAGCCAGGAACCCTGAGCACCTCCGACCTTCCCTGACAAGAGCAAAAAACCAAAGCGCACATGGCAGCAACATCTGGATCGTGAACGGGATCCCCGCGGGCTCTTGACATTGGCTTTTGGAAGGGATGGCGGGGGACGGTCATGCTCGTCCGCTGTACGTTGCCCTACTGCCCCTGTCCCTGCCGAAGCCAATGTAAACTCACTAAGGTTGCACACGCCATACGCCAAAGTTCCCGCGCCGCCCCACTCTACATTTTATTTTGGCATGGATGGCCCAGGGGTCAACACATTGCCCGCTGTGTGTTGCCACGTGCGCTGGCGTACCTGGGGCACCCTGCGCGCCGCCCAAGTGGCGCGGCTGGCGCAAGTGGCGCAAATGGCGCACGTGACCCGTTTGGCGCATCAGGCGCGCCTGGCATCTTTCTGGCCCCTGGCGCACCTGATGCGCGCGAGGCACGCGCGACGCTTCTCGCGACCGTCGCGCACCTGGCGCCAGTATTGGTTACCAGTCGAGGTTCGTCCGATGGCGATCTCTGCCTAGGCGGAAGCTCGGGTGCCACTTATACGGTAGGAGAGCGGACGGGAGTGATGGAGTCAGTTTGTGGCGCGCCGGTTGGCAAACTGGCACCTCCCCATACTCCCTCCCCTGGGTCTGGTCGGGTGGGGGCGTGAGGTCTCAGAGGGTCCGGGTGGGCTGGCGATGGCCCTAAGACGGCCCCAAATGCACCGAAATGGTATCGCACGTCACGTAGTACAGTCCAACTTGGACATTAGATGGTGTTCAGCATGCCTACGAACAAGCTGTTGCATGCCTATAAGAAGTCTCCACGTGACTACGAAGCCTCCCCCAAATGCGATCGACATGCCACAACCAATCAGACAACCTAGCGCTGGTCAACATTTACAAACTTCTCCCGCTTTCGCTTCTGATGGGTGGTCCAATCTCAAGGTGACCCCAAGATGGCCCAAGAGAACCCCAAGGCGGGCAGAACGGGGCTGTAAGAGTCTGTTTTCTTATTATCCAGGAAATAGGCTGTCACCGCCCCCCCCCTCCCCCCAAATGACGTCACGTTCCGCGCTGGCGGCGTCCGGGAATGCCACGGGATGACCAAGGCCAAGTTTGAGCAGCATGTAAGTGGCGATCTGCACCACAGCGCCTGTGTACTGAGCACAGTGTTCGCGTGCACCTCAGCGAGAGTGTACACCACAGCGCTTGCGTAGGCCGCAACAGCCATGTGCAACGCAGCGCCCGTGTACATCACAGATCTTGCGTGCACCACAGCGCCTGTGTACACCACAACGAATGTATACACCGCAGCAACCATGTGCAACACAGCGACGTACACCACAATGTTCGCGTGCACCGCAGCGCCTGTGCACACCGAGGCGCCTGAGTACACCACAGCACCCGCGTGCAACGAAGCGCTGGTGCTCAGTACAGCGCTTGCGTGCACAGGGCAAATCGAAGGAGCATGTAGGTGAGGATCTGCTGCGGACAGCCACACACCACGCAATGGAACTGCTGATGATAGAACGCGGTGTTCTTCCCTCCTGGCTCCTCCTTTCCTCCTTCTCCTCCTCCTCTTCCTTTTCCTCCTCCTCCTCCTCCTTTTATCCTTCCCCACGTCACGCGCGTCGGCGCTACAACGCACGTGCGCAGGATGGTTTATTGAATCAGTTTACATGGGTTCTCGGACGGCTAATTCTGCGGGAGCCGTCTGGACGCAGATTGGAGGACTCTGGATGATGCAGGAGGGCCCGGGAGGATCCGTAGATTCCACCGGCGCTATTTCCTCCATAAGGATTCCTTTCCTCCTCCTATGTAAAACATTTGTCCAGTGGGTTCCTTCTGAAATTCAATATGCACAACATTGGTGTTCTGTTGAATACGGTTGCCGTAGTGCACACAGGCGCCATGGTATACGCATGCGTTGTGGTGTACACAAGCGCTGTGGTGCACGCAGGCACTGTGGTGCACACTGGCGCTTTGTTGCGCGCGGCTACAGCAGTGTACATGGGCGGTGTGGTGTACACATGCGCTGTGGTGCATGCAGGCACTGTGGTGTACCCAGGGGCTGTGGTGCAGATCGCCACCTACTTTCTTCTGCTACCTGTCTTCGGTCATTCCGGGACATTCCCAGAAGCCGCCAGCGCGAAAAGTGACGTCGTCGGCCCCTCCCCCACCCCACATGACGGCCGGCATCGCCCCAGAAACAGAAACTGTCTAAGACGGCCCCAACGGCCTTCAAAAGCAGCCCGAGGGCGTCTCAAGAGGGCAGCCAAGGACACTGTTGCTGCCTCCGACGCACCCCTCCCCCTTTCTTTGATTGATGGACTTCTGAATCGGCCCGGGACAGCTCCGAAGGCCCCGAAGAGGACCGCGAGAGAACCCCGAGAGCGTACCAAAGGCCAACTGCATCGCAAGATAACCCTAACATTGCCTTCAGAAGCGAAGGCCTTCATGTTTGGCGGTTGGTCGCGACAATTTCAGGAGTCAGCCTCCAAGGGCCTTCGCAGAGCACCCACTAGAGAATCGGCAGCTTACCAAGCATCTGCGAGCAGGGAGCGTGCAGGTGATGTGGCGGCTGCCCTTCGTGCAACTGCATCTCCCCGCCAATTCCCTGGTTGAGACAACTCGCCGATAGGTCGTTGCTGGAGGGGCTGGTGGACATACGCGGCGCGTCAAGAACTGCAAGCGCGCGGTGGATTACCCACCGGCGTGCCGCCAACACTGACATAATCAATGCCCCACGGCCCGTGTGGCTTCACGGTTGACATCGGTCCTGGCTGGGCGTCATCGAGAGACCAAGAAGAAGTCCTCAGCGCTTGACACTGCAATAGTCTTGGCGCTGCCATGCCAGGAAGCCACGCTTCGAACATGCTCCCGGGGTTGTCCCCGGGGGCCCGCCCTGGAGCCGTACCGGGGGCCGCTTGGACTGGCCTGGAAGCCCTGGCGGCCGAGCCCACGACCATTGAGAGGCACGCGGCCCCTGCGCTAGTGTGCCGTGCTAGCCTCCCCGTCTCCAGAGCGTCCAGGGCGGCCGAAGACGCCCGAACCTTGCCCCGAGACGGCCCCCGAGGCTCCCAAGAGGGGCCCAAGAGGCCTCCAACACGGCCCTACGAAGGTCCCCGAAGTGTCCGAGGTCGCGCCTTCCCCAGCGCGTCCCTGCACCAGCGACCCAGCTGAAATTATGTATCAAAGCGTCGGATGGGGTAGCGAGAGCGAGGAGGTCTGGATGCAGCCCTCGCCTGAGGCCCACGAACATGTCGCCCTCGAAGGCGTCCGAGTTTAGGAAGCCCCACTGGCCCTTCCGAGGCTAAAGCGCGAAAGAAAGGTCGCAGGGCGGAAGGACGACGAGGAAGTAGAGGAGGCGGAGCAGGAGGAGGAGTCACTATACCCTGGGGGCGACGCGTTTCTCCGAAGTGCCCGACTCAGCCGAGAAGATTCAGCGGCTGGGCGAGTGGCACTGGAGATGATGAGCGCATCAGCTGGGCACGCGCTACTGTGAGCACGGCGTTTGTCATGGGCTCCATGGGAGCTGAGGGTAAATCGTTATAAAGGAAAGAAAAGGAGGAGGAGGAGGAGGAGGAGGAGGAGGAGGAGGAGGAGGAGGAGGAAGACCTGTGCAAACTCAGGACTCATCAACTATGTTGGAATACACACTCCCTCCAAGCTCCCTCTTCGCAGGCCCCTACAACGATCCGTGTCCACTGAGAGAAATGCCCCGTTGGAAGACAACTGCCCGCAAATCCTGAACCTTGCCAAACCACCATCCTTAGGACTCCGACGCCACGAGTCAACGTGACTTCGATGCCACGAAACAAGGATCCTGACCCGCGCAGGAGAACCATTCCTGGGACTTCAACGCTGCGAATCAGCCAACTTGTTGCGCCCTGACAACCCGGAATCGTTCCAGAACGCTGTTTCCGGGACGCTAGCCATGCGAATCTGCGAAATCTGGAAACATAATTCGAAACTGAGAAAACGACATGCTGGAAAGGAAACGCCCTCAATCCTTGAAACATGTGCCAATCGAAAAGCAGAATGTGCGTGGCGCCAAAACGAGGTCCACAAATTGAAAACGGCCCGCCCTCAATCCGTGAAACTCTTGCAGGATATTCAAAAAATGTGCGCGGCTCGAACGCAAGAACGACATTTCGAAAACAATCCGACCTCCATACGTGACGCTGTTGCCAATTTCTAATCTTCAGGCTAATAAGTGGTGAAGATAAGCTCAAGCGAAACGCCCGGCCCGCCCTTCCGACTGGCCTCAGGGAGCGACATGGAAGAGTTCTTCACAATCAGAGGGAATGGAGGAGGAGGAGAAGGAGGAGGAGGAGGAGGGATGGCCAGGATGCGCTCAATACTGTACAAATACGCGGCGAGGGCTTGATGCAGACTGCGCTATTTCGAATGAAGCATGATATCCTCCTCCTGTTGCAAACGTGTCCGCAGGCTACTCTGGGTGGTCGCTTTGGGAAACTTGGCAACTTGAATACCCCGAAGCAAGAAATCAAACAGTTGCACGGATGGAGGGCCAGTGATTTTCAAATTGCGTATCTCTCCTCAGCGCAGCCCGCATTCATCTTAAGAGCTGCGAGCAATTAAACAGGTAGAAGGACAATCGCTTTGAACATGTGCCTCTCGCATCGACGCCACTCACCTTCGTATGAACAACTTATGACACTCACACGGATGGATGGCCGGTCGCTTTCAAAATGCGGCTCTCATTTCGGCAAGGCTAAGATGCATCATCGAGCAGTGGAACGGATGGGCGCCGCACGCATGGTGATGCTACGTGAGACGCGCTAACCAATTCAAACAACAAGGGTGCGGCTATGGGGTTCTCGCCTGAGACAACGTAAGGTTCTATGGCCAGGTATTCCCACAAGCGCACATTCACCTGCTACATTGATGCAGGGCGGTTCCTTGTCAAAGCGTGACCGTCGCAAGGCACAACCTTGAACTTTCAAGCCCTAAACTGTCGCATTCCACATATCTTGACAGATCGGGGGCAATTCCTTCAAAACGAAGCTCCCGCTCACATTGCGGGCCCATGGGGGTCTCGTCCTGAGACTTGGGACAGGAAGGTGCGTTGCAGAATTCCCAGAATTCCGAATGTGGTCCGTGAAAAGATACGTGGCCCGCACGGACTGCTCAGACGTGCCAAGCGGCTTCGGCCACAAACCCAACTCATACCGAAATATACCCTCGAGTGGGAAGAGGAAAGAATCTCCCCGATAGGGTGGGCCCCAGGCCCACATATATGGAGGAGTCGCCTATCCTCCAACGTTGCACATTGTTTGTGGCGTAGTCCCCTGGGGATCTCGACCGTCGGGGATCTCGACCGTCTTGACCCCTCCCTGGCGCTGGCGTGTCCTCCTAAGTTGATTGTGGGGATGCCGGGGCTGGGAGGCAACCACCAAAGTCCGAAAATCTCAGCCTTCACTATCTTGTTTCTACGCCCAAATCTGTGGGCCCGCTGGCGGGGACAGAAACAACCAACGTCGATTCGCTGAATCGAGTCGGAACGTGCACTGGATCGGACTGCACTGGGACGGACTCGTACACGTCGGTCGGAACAAGTAGGTGAAACCATGAAGTAGGAAGGCGTTGGAAGTAGATTGGGTGTCCGAACACCCCCTGAAGAGGAGGAAAGAGAGAAAACCACTCGACTCTTGAAGTAAGATCGCGGCTAAAACATATTGGGATCAGGGCGTCCAGAGATACCTACTTTCAACGACCGGCGTGTCATCAAGACGGATCGGCTGCGACAAGAGCTCGACAGCGCCGTGCAAACATCAGGCCGCACTGGACCGCCCGAAAGTGGAGGCCTCCTAAGCGGGGTCCGAGTAAATGGGGTCGAAGGATCGCGCCGTATCGAAGAAGTGGGCATGAGGAAAATCGGGCTCCACATCGAGCCGCAGCGGCGATGCATCGGCGATGCGGTGTGATCCTCCTGCCCCATCTACTCGGAACCCCCTGAAGGCCTGGAGTAGACAAGCGCGCCCCACTACTCGCAAAATAGCTGATCGCAAATGACATGGATCCGCCGCGAAGGATATACGATTCACTGCAACGAGGCGAACATGCGTACTTAAGACATTTGCGAGTAGGCACTTTGCGAGTAGTGGAACGCGCTCGGCGAAAGAGAAAATCGAAGTCGAATCGGACAGAGCCAGGCGAACATCGAGTCGAAATGGGCCCCGCGGGGGTCCTTGAACTCGCGAACCCAACCGCTGGTGATCTCCTCGGCCAACGGCTGGCCCTCGCGGCCACAAACGGTCACATCGATGGCCTCCGCCCTGGAGTTGGACTTCTGTCTTACCGTGAACTCGACCTCGTCGTCCTTCAGGGGATCCACGGACTCAGCCTCCTTCCTCTTTCTCCTGCCTCAAACTCCTCCTGCCTCAAACTCCTCCTGCCTCAAACTCCTCCTGCCTTCTCCTCCTCCTCTTCCTCCCTCCCCTCATAAAGCGGACTGCTTGTGGCGACCTATGGGGAAGGGGCTCTGGACGGGAAGATGTATTGAAGCATCGCTAATGCATCTAGGGGGGGGGGCATCCTGGTCCTCGTCCCTCCTCCTTCTCAACCCAGTGAAGATGTCGATCCTTGTCTTCCTCCTCATCATTACCAACATATCACATGACCAACAACTAGGACAATAACATATGGCTGTGTTGGGCGCCGCGTGGAGCTGCAAGGTGATCATAACAAACATGATGTGCACGTCTGCACCCAGCTGCCGCATTGAATCACATATGACACATGGCTCGGTGCGACGGGCCAGGAGAGTAAGCAACAACAGACATCAGAAAAGAAGAGTCGCCGTATCAATAATAGGGCAGTACAATACTGAAACCCAGCATGGAGAAGTCGGCATATGTGTTATGTGTACATATGAAAAAGCGCATCGGTGTAATACATATAGATCTATATGTATATCGGTATACTCCCAAACCAATGCTTACAATTATGTAAGGGTGGGTTTAGGGGGGCGTTCGCCACGATGGCGCCCGTGCCGGCTAAAGTGCGCCTCGTGGGCGGCACGAACTCGATTCGCCGGAATCTCGGTTCGCCTCGGTTCACTGGCCAGCGCATGGTTCGCTGCGGCTTGGTTCGCCGGGGCTCGCTTCGCCAAGGCTCGGTTCTCCCGACTAGATTCGCCCGGCTCGATTCGCCGAGGCTCGGTTCGCTTGGGCTTTGTTCGCCCGTCTCGTTTTGCTGGGGCTCGTTTCGCCAGAGTCTCGTTTCGCCGGAGTCTCGTTTCGCCGCAGTCTCGTTTCGCCGGGGTCTCGTTTCGCCGGGGTCTCGTTTCGCCGGGGCTCGTTTCGCCGCGGCTGGTTTCGCCGAGGCTCGTTTCGCCAGAGTCTCGTTTCGCAGGGGCTTGTTCCGCAGGGGCTCGCTTCGCTGGGCACGTGGAGGGTCCAGAGGGGGAGGAGGTGGGAGCAGGCGAGCGGACCCTATCACAAGCGGGTGCGGTCGGGCGGACGGACCCTGACGGGCGGGTTGGGGCGGGCGGGCGGGGCATGAAAGTAGGACACATCATCGAGATAGTACCCGCGAGTTGGGTCGGGTCGGTCGTGCGGAGCTTGACGGGCGGGTCGGGTCGGTCGGGCGGGCGGGACATTCAAGTAAGACGCGTCATCGAGATAGCACGCTCCAACTCTAACGGGCGGGTCGGGTCGGGCGGGCGGACCCTCACGGGCGGGTCGGCTCGGTCTGGCGGATCTTACCAGGCGGGTCTGGTCGGGCGGGCGGGCGGGACATTTAGAGAGGACGCATCATCGAGATAGCACGCGCGAGCCCTGACGGACGGGTCGGGCGGGCGGACCTTGACAGGCGGGTCGGGTCGGGCGGGCGGGACATTCAAGTAGGACGCATCATCGAGCCAGCACGCGCGAATCCTGACGGACAGGTCGAGTGTGGCGGACGGACCTGAATGGGCGGGTCGGATCGGGAGGGCGGAGCCAAGCGAATCGAGACTCGGGCGAACTGGACCTGGGCGAATCGAGCTGGCCGAATCGAACTGGGCGATTCGAGCCCTGGGCCCTGGGCGAATCGACCCGGGCGAATCGAGACTCGGGCGACTCGAGACTCAGGCGAAACGAACCCTGAGTGAATCGAGCCGTGCGAATCGAGCCTGGGCGAATCGAGCCGGGCGATTCGAGCCCCGAGGAATCGAGACTCGGGCGCGAATCGAGCCAACCGAATCAAGCCGCGCGAATCGAGACTCGGGCGAATCGAGCCGGCCGAATCAAGCCTGGGCGAATCGAGCTGGCGGATCGAGCTGGGCGCATCGAGACTCGGGCGAATCGATACTCGGGAGAATCGAGCGGGGCGAATCGAGCCGGGCGAATCGAGACCTGGGCGGGCGAATCGAGCTGGGCGAATCGAGACTCGGCGAGTCGAGCTGGGCAGATTGAGCCGGGCGAGTCGAGCTGGGCGAGTCGAGCCTACGTTTCGTGGGCGCCCCGTGCGATGGACGGGTTTCCTGCGTGTTCGCTTCGTTGGCGCACGTGCCTCGTCGGCGCCCCTGTGCGCTGGGAGGGTTTCTCCAAGACGTGGCGCCCGTGCAGGCTCGTGGGCGCCTCTCCGGCGCCTGGCACGCTGGGAAGGCTTCCCGAAGAGTCGCCGCGTTGGCGCCCCTGCCCGCTCGTGGGCGACTCTCGGGCGTCCCGTGCGCTGGATGGGCTTCCAGAGGTTGCGCCTCGTTGGCGCCCGTGTTCGCTGGTGGGCGGCCCGTGGGCGCTCGCCCCGTGGGCTTGCATCACATAGCCTGCCCCACATAGCTCACGCAACATAAACTACGCCACATAGATTACAGACCATAGCTGCCATCACATAGCGCACACCGCAAAGCGCTCACAACATAGAGTAGTCCACATAGCGTGCACAACAGATCCCTATCCCCGCCGTGCAACATTACACTTTTGGGGGTCCGCGCTGCATACCATGGTTTATCGGTGAGTATATATATATATATACAGATAGATGTATATAGGTATACATGCACGCATCCATGTATACCTACCTACCCACCTACTCAACTACCTACCTACCTGCCTGTCTGCATACGCATACATACCTACCAAGCGACCTGTCTTCCTAGGAGGGCACATGCATACCTACGTAACTGCATACATACAGACATGAATGCATGCGTACATACATACGTTCAACACACTACACAATCCAGCGCAATACATCGCAATCCAAAACAACACACTACACTCTGATACAACACGCTACAATACAACACATACATACCTACACACAAACAAACCAACCCACATCCCCAGATAAAGGCATACATACATACACACATACATACATACATACACACATACGCACAGGTATACAATTTCGCTCGTACTTACGGGGGGCGCTCACGAGGTCCTCCAGAGTCGGGCCTACGCGGGCGCACGAGAGAGATCGGCGAGAGCCATAGCTGCTCGACGAATTCCGTAAAGATGGCCATTCCACTCCTCCTCGGTGGGCGGGGGCGGCGGCGAGACACGTACGATAGTGTAAATGTGGAAAGATATTACGATGGCCTCCACTACTTGTGCAGTCGACGTGCGATTGAGACCCAACCTGGCGATCGGGCTCTCTGGGCCCTCTTGAGGGTAAGCCCACGACCACAACACTGGGCAGCGAGTATAGAGCATAAAAGTGTCGACGCCAGCAACACAGTTGCAACCGAATTTACATTTAGCAATGCCTCCTGCTGTATGGAGCCTCGCTGTCGTAAACCACGCACCTGAAATCGTTTTGAGCGCAGCCGATTGCCACGCGGGCGAGACGGACCTCAGAAGGTCCCGCAGTGGGGGCCAGCGCGCACTGCCTTGCGAACACTGCGCGAAGGTGAGGCAGCGCAGTCAACGCGAGTGCGATTACAGAGAACATTGTACGCCTCTCTCCATGCCTCCCTCTTCCCCGATCGTTTTCACCTCACCCTGCAAAGGCGTCTAGCCAAGTGGGCGCTCAAAGTTGTACAGGTATATGTATATCTATATATATATATATATACATATGCCTGAATATGTACACACCTACCCACATGCATGAACACATCCGTATACTACACTCCAAAGAAATGTAGCACACTACAACTCAATGCAATACAACACGACAAACTTATACACACCTGTATCCATGCAATCATGCATGCATACATATACATATGTGCGCACGTAAATACGGACATACGTACGTACGTGCATGCGTACAAGCGTACAGGCATACACGCGTACATGAGTACATGTATAGATACATGCATACATACATACATGCTTACAGTCATGCACACATTCACACGCACGCATACACACATACATGAATCAATACATGCATACATACATACTAGCAGACAGACAGACAACCAGACAGGCAGACAGACGGACACACATACATGTGTAAATAGATGTGTACATCAATGAAAATAACATGTGCATCGGTGTTTATGTGAATACGTATAGGTAGAAGTACGTGTAGACACATGGTTATAGCATTACGTATATCTTGTGTTGTTGTTCCCAACCATCATGTGGTACTGGGTGTTCGTTCTGAAGAGATCGGGCCCCGCGTCACCGCTCCTCACTCCTACTCCTCCTCCTCCTCCTCCTCCTCTTTCTCCTCCTCCTCTTTCTCCTCCTCCTCCCCCTCCTCCCTCCTCCCATCCTTGCCTCTGTCGTCCGCATGTCCATTTCGGAGCACCCTCACACGCTTCGTGACTCCAACGGGGGCTCCAACAAAGGCCCCAGGGGGATGGGGGTCCGCATGCGATCCCACTGCTGTTCTGGCAAACCCCTCGCATACTTCGTGGCCTCATAGGAACCTCCGCCGTAGGCCCCAAACATTGGTCCGCATGCGGTCCCCGCCCCGCCCATTTTGGTACACCCTTCACACGCTTCGTGGCGCCATAGGGGGAGGGAGCTCCATCTAGGGTCCCAGGGGGGTACGGATGCGGTTCCCACGCCCATCTCGGCGCACACCTTACACACTTCGTGGCCTCATATGGGGGAGGATCCGCAAGCGGTCCCCCTCACAACTTTGGCACAACGCTCACACACTTCGTGGCCCCATAGGGAACATCCCAACAGCGGCCCCAGCGGCAGGGTCCGCATGCGGTACCCCCGCCAATTTCTGCACACCGCTCACACGGTTCGTGGCCACATGGGGGGGCTCCACCGAAGGCCTCCGTGGCAGGGCCTGCCCTATTTCGGCACACCCCTCATTCGTTTCGTGGTCCCCATCGGGGTCTCCACCAAAGGCTCCACCCCTCACACGGTTTGTGACCCCACATCGGGGCTCCACCAGAGGCCTCACCGGCAGGGTCGGCATGCAGTACCCGCCCAATTGCGGCACACCTCTCACATGTTCCGTGGGGTTCATAAGGAGCGCCACCGAAGGCCCCACTCTTCAAACGCTTTGTGGACCCATAATGGGCTCCACCAACGGCCTCAGTGGTAAGGTCAGCACCGTACCTACTCCATTTCGGCAGACCCATCGCAAGTTTCGTTGCCCCGTAGGAAGCTCCACCGACGGCCCCAGTGGCAGGATCCGCATGCGGTACCCCTGCCTATTTCTGCACACCGCTCACACGGTTAGTGGCCTGCTGACTAGCTCAAGCCCGTTCGTGGTTCGTGGCACACCGAATGCCCAAGCGCCCATTTCGGCACACCGCTCACACGTTTCGTGGCCCCGTGGGAAGCTCCACTGAAGGCACCAAGCGCACGGTCCGTGCGAGGTACTCGGTAAGTTTCGGAAAGCCCCTCGAACGCCCTCGTTCTTTGGCCAAACTATTACTTCGGAAACTCTTGCGGAACTCCGGCCATACAGCGGGGCTGCAATCAAGCATTACCAACTGTCGCCAATCTTCATGGCAATAGCAAGGCTTGGCTGCGGTGGGCATGGAGTCTCAGCGTGGCCCTGGGCCACCCCCATTGCCAAGGCTGCTTGCAACGACCGCGCAACTTCTGACAACCCCAACGAACGATTCCCAATTGAACGACGCACGGAAACCCACGAGACTAGGCGCGATGCCTGCGGCCACCATGTGTTGCGCACTGCGCCAGTATCCATGTTGAACTCTCAGTAAAAATGGAACATGTCGCACGCACGCCTGGTGGGTGAACGGCGTGGCTGTTCTCCGCAGGGCAACGTCTAAGAGGGGTCGCAAAGAATGCGCACGGCTGGCAATTCACGCGTCGAACCATAAGCAAAGACTCGGCATGCAAAGGCATCTGGTCGACATGGCGGAAAGGCGAAAGCCTTTCACAGAGGATGATCCCTCGGAAACACAATAGGGCACGAACTGGGCCACGAAATTGCCTGGGCGCCCCAGGCACTTTCGCGTGATCAGTTGTTTGCGGCACGGCGGGATGGACACCCCTGGAAGCCCGCCCAACGGCGCGGGCATTGGACCACGCCCCCTTCTCATCATTGTCGCGCACGAAACGTCGGCGCTGCGACGATCAGCGTTAGCAGCGTTGTGCCCTATCAGCGTCGTCGCCGAGGCAAACGCAAACCAGCTCGCCAACGGAAGCCGACAAGCATGGGCGGCCCTGAAAACGACGCAGGGGTGCGAAATTACCAACGCGGAATTGCCCGAGCGAAGATGCCCGCACGAAGTGGCCCCAGAGTTGCCGCCCAGAATGGCAGCACGAAAAAGCCCCAACATTGATTCCCTGGACTCGTTTGCGAGCGCCCGGCCGCGCATGCAAGCGCCCCGCAAAACAAGAAACCGCCTGAGACATTCGAGCAACAATTTCGCGCGGGTAATTTCGTGCGGCGTTTCGTGGCGCATTTCGCGCAGGGCAAGATTAAATTCGTGAGACATATCGTGCCTCATTTCGTGGCGCATTTCAGGCTTCATTTCTTGTCTGGTTTCGTGTACGTCCGGAAATAGGTTGAAGCTCGTGGAAGAATGGAGTCGCGTTGGGGCAGCAGCCGCTTTGCATTGGCAGGGCAATTAAGCTGCAATCTGCCAGGGACTACAACTGACATGTCACGCTACGCGCAGGCATGACAAAACACGACGGCCAACTATAAAGGGATCAATCGAAAGCATCGCGCGGCCAGCGGATCCCTCCGGGCGCGGCAGCGCCACCCACGCAGTCAAAGCAACCCCCTTTTCGTTTGGAAAGGATTTCGCACACGCCCCCTTTTTGTCACCAGGGGTCGGTCAGCGCCGAAGCTTTGTCGGGCGCAGGGCCGAAGCGGGCTCTCGAAAAGAGCACGGCAGAAAAAGGGGTCCGGCGGGCGGGCACAGATCGAGAGGGTGCGAAGCAGAATGAGGAACATGAGGATGATGATGAGGAGGATGCGTGCTAAGCAGCGAAATGGCAGGTAGAGAAAAACGATGAGGATAAGCGGCGAAGGATAGCGCTCCGCGGGGGCGCGGCTCTGCATCCGGCGCAGGCGCCGACTACCCACCCACGGCCGCGCATGGGCGCCGCTCGACTAGCCTCGCAGGCCTCCGAGCGGCAGGAGCACGGGCGGGCCCGCGCGCGCTGGGCCCAAGACACACCCTCCGTGCCTGGGCCCCGACCATGCCCACGAACTCAACGAGGTCGAAGGCGACGACGAAGGCAGCACCACGCAAAGACACTGTCACCTAAAACAAGTGTAGGCAGATGACCGCTATCCAGGCACTTGTGTCTCAGACATAGCAGCAATCACCAGGAGAAACCCACTAATGCAGATGCCCACGAACAACTTCAGACGGCAACCGACGCCCGAGACCCAGTCCCCCGCGGAAGGCAAGCGCACCTGTCGCCAACACGTGGCCAGAACACCCTCGCGGATCGCTTCCGCAGGGAGCTGGGCGCACGAGAGGTAAGCGCACCCATCACAAACAGGTGGCCAGAACACCCTCACGGGTCGCCCTCGCGCGCCCTGACTTTCGGAGAGGCAAGCGCAACCGTCGCCAACGACTGGCCAGAACACCCTCACGGGTCGCTCCCCATCAGGCCATTTGGGCCTACGCAGCTGATATGGTCACTGGTGCATCAGGAAAAAGTAGCCCAAAGCAGTAGGGGCCCCCTCCAACGGAAGGCGAGCGCAGTCGTCCATGGATCGACTGGCCAGTCCCTGAAGCCCCGTAGGGCATTCCGAAGGAGCGGTTCTGCGGCCTAGCCCTTCGCCGCGACGGGGTGGGCAGCTGCCGAACTCGAAGCCCGCGCGCCCACGCACTCTCCAGTGCGAGGATGCTTCTGGCACATGGCCCGCTTGATCGCCGCCTTCTGACCAGCTCGAACACGTGGTGCATCAGATGGGCCAAAGCACTGCGCGTCGATGCCTGGGACTCTGCCACCGGTGGCGCAATGCCCAGCACGCCGCTTGCAGATCGTGATGGGCCCGAACACGCAAGGCGCATGCGAGGGCGCCTGGCTCGGATGGCCTGACCGCCAGTCCATCAACGTTGGGAGGCTCGTTCACAGGCAAGAATTGTGGATTGCCTCTGGAAAAAATAATCCGCCGCCCAGCTCATCACCGCCGTCGGCACACAAAACTTGAACCTCTTCTCGGCGCGAGGACTACGCAGTGCATGATCCAAGCCCGCCATCGCGCTGCACTTCCTGCGTCGCCAGCATCTCGACGCTCCTGGGGCGGGGTCGTGCCAGCAGTCATGATGCTCGATTGCCGCTGCAAAGAACCTTTGCCGTCGCGACCTTCGGCGCCTCGCTCTTATCCAGCCCCATTCTACATGCCTCTGCGCCAACTGCCCGAGCATCGCGATCGCATCCACAGCACTCGCAAACTGGAGCCTGCAATCGCGCGCGAAGCTGTCGGAGAGAGCGACGTCATCTCGACCCGGGCCCGCGAAGAAGTCAGCCCGCCAGTTGCCTATCCAGTCGAACAGGTTGCAGTCCTTCTCCACCGCCTGGCCGCGCGAAAGACGAGGGCCCTGCCGAGCGAAGGAGGGGGCCCGCTCGCCTTTGGTCAACCCCGCCATCGTCCGCCACAGCCCCGCATGCTTGGCTCTCGCCCCCGCGTTGATCACCCAGTCACGCTTCGACTCATTGACTAGCGAGAGGTGGTCCGTCACCACCGTCGCAGGCCCCGCCGTCACCTTCAGCGCCTGCGCCGCCGCATACCTTTCCGCTTAAGGGGGCTGAATGGTTCGGGCCAGAAACTCATCCATATCTCTCTCTGCACGGCCATCTCTGATTATCGAGCTCCACAGCCGACCAGTCGCTTCCCCTGCACTCTGGAAAGTTGAAGTGAGTGGCCGCGCCGTCTGCATACACCAGATGGCCCCAGCTCGTAGCCCTCGACGAAGCGAGCCTCGACGCCCAGCTTCGCGAGCGATGATCCCGAGCTCCGCGATGCTGAAGGTCGCCGTGCCGAGGTGCAGCTCCCGCCCACGCTGCACTCGGTGGTCGTAGGGGACCGCGAGTCCACCTCAACTCCACCCCGCCTCCGCTTGGCGAGAGGCGGCCTAGCGGAGCCCATCTTCCGGGGCGCCGAAGCCGCGGTCGACGACGTGGCAGACTTCCGCCGCGGGCGCGAGGGGTCGCGAATCCGCCTCGACTCCACCCCGCCGCCGCTTGGCGCGCAACCGCCTAGCGGAGCCTGCGCCATGTGCTGGGGCGCCGCAATCGCAGTGCTCGACGCAGCCGAATATATATATATATATATATATATATATATACACATACCATCCGTCGATCGATCGTCATCAGAGTCGGGCCTTCGAGGAAGTCGCGTGCGAGGCGCTCTGTCCCCAAAGATCGTTCTGGCCTTGGCCCTCGCGCCGGCCAGATCCTTCCAATGCCTGACTTCCCGATCATTTCTTTCCTGCCCTGGCGACCTGGCCAGGCCCAGGACGAAGTCACCCCTCAAAGCCGCAGTCTGTCTCCGCGCGCTGGAGCACAAACGCCCGGCGATCTGCTGCAACGTCGCCACAGGGGACCAACGATAAAGCAGGCGCTGCAGGGGCTTGCCCCCGCCGCCTTCGAACGTCGCCTCGAGGAAAGGCCGGCGCCGTTCCATCCAGTTCGCGTTGGGCTCTGGCACGCAGTTGGAGTCATCGAATCACAACGCTGTCCAATCCCGAAGATCATCGCGCATGTCCTGGTAGCCCTGCATCGTCGCAGCCCTCTGCGAGTCTAGGTCACGAGGCAGGATGCCCATGCCGCTTGGGCCATCATCCTTGCCGATCTCGATCTTGATCGCGCCGCCGACCTCCTCGCCCAGGCCCCAGTAGAAAGTGGGCGGGTCATCCAAAAGAGGGGGCGCCTGCGGCATTTGCGGGAGCAACGTCACGTACCCGAAGAAGTCGTAGCACACCTGGCCTAAACCAACCTCCATGACTGCTCGCGAAAGCCGTTGCCTTTACAACCTCGCCACCTCGGACATGTCCTCGTCCTCGTTCTGCACCAACATGTCACAACCATACCACAAGTGGTCCAGGCCCGCCTCCTTCGCCCCGCATTAAGGGCAGTCCGCCGCGTCATGGGCCCCGCGCTGGTACCGAGTTGTTGGCGCCAAAGGAGCCCCCGACCACGCTGCGCGGACAGCACCTCGCTGTTTGGCTTCAAACACGAAGATTCCTTTGCGCATCGCCCTGCGCCAGATATTCGGACCCCGTCGCTTCAGGAGCGCGAACACTCATGCGACTGCGCTGCCAGTGTCGAACTACTTCCGGGACCAAGGCCCGCACGTCCTTCGGGGGGAGGTCGCCGCCGACGAGATCAGCTTGCCTTCGCGTGTCTTGTAGTGCGTGCGGGTCGCGAACTCACAATCAATACTGCCGAGGGTGAAGGACAAAGCAGCCGAAGGCCCAGTGCACAACGCCCAACTCGGATTGTGGTGAAGCCTCTCACGCACTGCTGCCAATGCTCTCCAGAACGTCACCCCAGGCAGTCGTCCTTCCCACTGCCAGGCCGCATGCATCTCAGCCAAGCCCGCCGTACCATCGAACATCGGATCCATAAACTCCTGCCTCTGCGTCGCCAGGTAGCACGTGAGCGACCTGCCTTTCTGGAGGTAACCTGCGGCAGCTCCTGCCAAACAGCGCAGCTGCACCATCGCCGTATCAGGGATCCCTGAAACACTGCCGCCATGCCCTGCCGACGCATACACTCCAGCTCTCCCCAATAATGTAGCCTTGGCTCCAGTGCCTGCCGCCGCCTTATGAAATATTCCCTTCTCGATCGTGCGCCGTACCCTGCTACCAACCAACTCGTGGCCTAGATTACGAGCGCGAAGTGTCGATTCCATGCGCAACTTCAGAAAATACTTCTCCAGAGCCCGCTGCGCTTCCGTAGACGTGGCCACGAACTGCGACTTCTTGGCCTGCACGCACATCCCCAGCTCCCTGGTCCGCTTACACGGGTAGACCGTCGCATTCCAAAAATCCCCTGCACGATCCAAGGTGTTGCCGGCCCAAAGAGGCCGAGCGCGAGAAGATTGCGAAGGAGGTGGAGAAGGATGATAAAGAAAAGTGAACTTGCTTCGGGGGGGGCTAGACACCGACCCGACCCGACCCGCTGTCCAACCCTAGCGGGGCGGTCTGGCCAGACGTTCACCTCCCTCGGCAACTCGCGCAGCAAAGCATCATGATGATGAGGATGAAAAGATTAAGAGGCTTGTGACTTCGCGGATGGTGCGAGGGGCACGAACCCGAATACGCACGTTGGCGCCAGCACTGTCGAGGTGCCCGCGGCTGTCTGGAGAACAACGTCTGCACTGCTAGGCAGACCTGCCAAGCCGCCACCAGTAGTGAGGCGAAACAACGTTAAACTGTTATAGCGCCTTTGCCTGGCATTGCGCGGTGAACCCTGCTGATCCCCTTTGTCTGACAGCCCGTTGCTGAAAGGCGGATGCTAGGTTTCGCACGCTGTCGCCCGTTAGATGTCTCAGGTCCTGCCGATTAAAAATCGTTTTCGCGAGGTGCCCCAAAGTTTGTTTCCAGTGTTGCAGGCGGTGGTGCTGATGGGATCGACAGGCGCTGAGGCGAAGCGCCGCCGGCGAATGCGACGAACCCCCTGCCGCGAAGCCAGCCAGGGGTGAGGAGAGCCAGAAACACGAAGCGAGTGCCAAATGAACCGCGCTTTGGCTCCTGCAAGGATTTGGAGCAACACGTACATCATGGCGACAATGCCCATGGTAACCCACGAGCCGGGTGGTGCCGGCCGAAACCCTGGCCCACTGTAGCACCAGGCCTTGTGGGGATGCCAGGGTGACCCCTGGATCACCCCTCGCACGGCCTAGAGGGCCCTAGGGCTTACGAAGTTGCACCGAAGAGCTGGGAACGCCTTGGGCGTGGACATCACCAGAGCGAGCTCCAAGCAATTCAAAGAGGGCCCCCTCTAGGGGGGTCGCCAACTCAGGAGGAGGAGAAGGACAAAGACAATGAGGAGGAGGAGGAGCAGGAAGAGCAGGAGGAGAGGACGCATCAAAGCCTGCTCGATCCTCGAACCCTCGTCGAGTTCAGGGAGGAGGTGACCCTCAAACGGGTGCCCCCCCGTGGCTAGAGGCCTCCCACATGGGGTCCGAGCAGACTGGGTCGGAAGAAAGCGCCGCTTCGCCGATGCATTACTGATGCCTCGGCGACGTCGGCGATGCGTCGGCGCCGTCGGGGTGGAGAAAATCGAGCTTCGCGTCGATCCGCATCGCCGATGTATCGGCGATAGGAGGCACGATCCTCCGACCCCGTCTGCTTTGGCATCTGACAAGCAACCTGGATACGGGTAGGGAAGAAGAAAGTACACTGCCCCACAACACATGCTATCTAATAACAACAACCACTATTTGGCAGGCTACGTGCTGTCTCACAAGGAAAACGCCCTCGGCAATGCCGACAGCGATCCCTGCTTAAAACGGACAAGAACTGCTGGCAGCCTTCGCCCTCCTTGTTCGAGTACCCGCTTCCGCCCTCTGGCCAAGGGTCCCCCTGAGTGAGAAAGACCGTTCTCGTTTTGGGAGGAAGGGGCTGGGAAGATACCGGGCACGACTGTGCAATGAGCCAATGTATCAGACGAGATAGTACGGATGATCGGATCATTTCTCCGAGCACCAAACTCCCAACCCGGTGAAATTCTCTTGCCTGGCTGAGAGGGCGCTGGCCAGTCCGGGCTCAGGCTCTGGAGGTGCGGGTTGCCCTTGAGGCCCACGAACAGGTCCCCCTCCCACCTGGGCTTCGCTTTCTATGCTGCTCCCCGCCAGGCGCCTGTCTTCCGAACTGGCCTGGCCCCGTGCGGCCATGCTGCGGGGGGGGGCTCCGGGCCGCTGACTGGACACCCGTCGGCAGACACATAGGGAAGTCAGCGCAGTGGGAAGGGATGGCTGCGAGGACTAGGCTGTGAGGTATGGCGCGAGCGCACCTATAGCTGGCCCGCTCCCCCTCTCCCTCCTCCCTCTTCCCCTCTCTCTCTCTCTCCCCCTCCTTCTCTCTCTCCCTGACACCCTCTTTCCCTCTCCGCCTCCCTCCCCCTCTCCCTCCCTCGCTTCTCCAGCTCCTCCTGTCCCTCATGGTCTTGCTCCTCCTGCACTCCTCCCCATCGGGCAACGTGCACACTCAGGACAGGAGGCACGGATCAGTGTTGGGTTGCACCAGCATTCTGTTATACCCCCCCGTCGTTCTTCGAGTACCCGACTCCTGGTGGATGCTTGGGTCATGCAAGAATGGCGTATTGAACATGCCATTTCGCTGAACAGAGGGAGTCAACTTTTCTTTTCTGCGCGCAGCGGGAGGAAGGCGTAGCCCGCGTTCTGCACAGCCCGCAGGAGGGCGAACAAACTCCCGCCCGCCGGCGCAGTGCGGATGTCGCTCCGCTGAATGCTCCCACAAAACAGTCGCCGCTGCCTGACGATAGTGGATAGCGGCGCTCTCTCAGGAGGGAGGAAGGAGAGAGAGAGAGAGATAGGGATAGAGAGAGAGAGAGAAAACAAAAAAAGAGAGACAGAGAAGGGAGAGAAAGAGGGAGCGAAAGAGGGAGATAAGAGAGAGAGTTGGTAAGGGATGGAGGCAGACTCGCTGCCCCCGGCATCCCAGACCCTTGGCCCCCTTCTACTCCTCATTCACCTCCTGCCTGGAAAAGGGGGACCGCGCTCAACACGACTCCCGTCCCAAAACGGCATGCTGCAACTGGCCGGGCGGGAAGAATGGGGCCATGCGGCTCACAGGCCAGAACGGTCTCTTCCGCGGGGCGTCTTTTGCTTCCGCTGTCCTTCCGCCGAAGCAGGGATCCCGACCTCTTCGTCTCTCTTAAGATCCCAGCCCCTGTCTGGGAAGCCCTTCCTCGTGCGAGAGGACGTTCTGGAGCAAAGCCTCACCCGCCACTCCAGCGGCCATGTAGCTGGCCAATGTGCCAGCACCCACCCCGCCCCTCTGAGCTCAGGGTCGCCGAGACTATGACCCAGAGATCCGATGTCGGGGTCCACCAAAAAACTACCTTTACCCCAGAGCTGGCTTTCCATCCTGAGCTGTATCCTGGCGGTCCTGGAGCTACAAAACGGGGGCCCGCCCACAGGGATAACATCCGCAGTGGAATATTCAAAAAGAAGAATGTCTGGGGATGTGAGGCAGCTGCAAGACGGTGGCCATCAGCTCCTCCTCCTCGTCCTCTTGTCCTCCTCCTCCTTCTCTCCCCCTCCTCCTCCTCCTCCTCCAGCGCGCGAAGGAAGAGGCGGGCGCACTCGTCGCTGGTGATGAAGCCCCACGTGCCTCTGAAACTGCGCACAACGCCCCGCAATCGGTCGCCATCTTCCGCCATGGCAACGGGGCGGGTAGAGGGGGGATGCGAGGGAGGAGGAGGAGGAGGAGGAGGAGGAGGAGGAGGAGGGGGAGGAGGAGGAGGAGGAGGAGGAGGAGGAGGAGGAGGAGGAGGAGAAGAAGGGGCAGGAGAGGGAGGAGAGGGGGGAGGAGGAGGAGGAGGAGGAGGAGGAGGAGGAGGAGGAGGAGGAGGAGGAGGAGGAGGAGGAGGAGGAGGAGGACGGCAGGAGGCCGGAGGGTAAGGGGGGCTGGATGTGGAGGAGAACGGCAATGGGCATCGGGGCAGACAAATGAGGAGGAGGAAGACCAGGAAGAGCAGTAGTGGGAAAAGAAGGAAGATGAGGAGAGGGAAGACGAGGAGGTGGAGGAGATGGTGAGGAAGAGGAACTATAGGAAGATGAAGGGGAAGCATGCGAGGGAGGAGCGGGGACAGTGGGGCAATCACGTTGGACGCCGAAAGATGCCAGGCTGCAGACGGGGCGAGCTCTGCGTAGTGCAGTGTTACTTTCTCGCACGCACAGTCTTCAACTGAAAAGCGTCCGTCCCGCTCGGGTCGGCAAGTGCAGGAACACGAGACATGGGCCGACAGACAAGCAAGCGACGTCGAGACCGATACTGCGCTGGAGAGGCGAGGGCCACCGCATGTCCACACTCCCAGCGGATCAGTCTGGGCATGGGCAGGGCCCCCGAGGGAGAAGGGGGCCCTGGACGCCAGGGGCTCTCCCCGAGGCAGGCTTCTCAGACACCTGGCGGTCTGATTGGCGTCGTCGATGTCGTCGTCGTCGACCTCGTCCTCGCCCAGAGGTCTCGACATCTTCCGCGGTACCGAGGAGAGGCCGCGAGCACCGCGGGCTGGGCGCTCTTGATGGCCGCTCGGGACGGAGGGCACCCAGCGCAAGGACTCGGAGAAAGCCCAGAGGTTGCCAAAGGTGCTGCGGTCTCAAGATGTCCCAGGCTTTTCGCGCCATGTTGTGAAGCCCCTGGGGCCTTTTGTGTCTCGTGAGGGGTGCCCTGGAGGCCGTCGGAGCTCGTATGCACTGCGCGGGTACGGCAGCAACTACAATGCTAGCATGCGCCCCAGAAGCGTCCCAGTGCGGCTCGAAGATGCTAGCCTCATGAAGAGGAAAAATGAGAAGCAGCGGGGGGAGTGGGCAGCGTGGAACACCACGTATGAGAAACGCTGGCAGCAAACAATAAGAAAACGCTGTCCCTGGCCAGCCGACTCCCTCCCCCCAGACATTCGGCGAGAGTTCTCCCTAAATCTGGTTCAGCACACAGGTCTCTTACACAATCAGAGAGACTGGGTTGTTGGCTTTGCTGATGTGGCTGCTGCTGACGTTGCCGTTGCTTGCCATGTGGTGGTTATGCTGATTTCCGAGCGCAGGCTTTGCTGGCGTGGCTGCTTTCAAATTCGGGGTCGACGTGAGGTCCCGACGCCTTCCCCAGGATTGTTTCTTCGCCCCGGATCGATTGTGGTTATCTCCAGGGCCCGATAATGGGCCCCAGAAGCTGAAATCGAAGAAAGATGCCAGGGTTGGACCAACTATCAGAGTGAGCGGGCCCGAACGGTCTTACTTCATCCCCAGGCGTGCGTGGCCGTTGTGGGCCGTTTCTGCGCGACGGGGTCTTGGGCGGGGGGGCCTCGGCGGGGGGTCCTGGGCGGCGGGAGGATAGCAAAAGGGGAGGGGGGGTTCGCGGCCCAGCTGCACGCAGCTGGTTTCCCCAGGCGTCTCCAGGCGCCGGAGGCGCCAATGCACAGAGGAGGGCGGCTGGCCGCGGGGCCGAAACGATGTGCGTGCAGCAGATTTCGTGCCCCCTTCTTCCCCGATCCTGAGGGGCAACAACAAGAGGGGAACATCGAGCTCGAAGCGGCGACACATCGCCCGATACATTGGCGATATGCCCCCAATGGAGGAACCGCACGCTCCTGGGTGGGGGCTACGAGGCCTCCATCGGCGATCGCTGGGCGATTGAGGACCGATGCGTCCCCCCTGAGCCTATGCCCCCCTAGTGCTGCCCATGACTCCCGGGTCATACCTATACGACCACCCTTGGGGTGATAAGGGGGTTGTGTGGGGGGGGGGAAGGGGGGGAAACGAACGAACGATTTCCCGAACGGGGTTCCCCGTTCCACTGCGATCTCACCCCCCAACCTCCGAACTCGGCTGTCCCGTAGCCATTCGGGACGATCTGGGCACTCCCAGAACGCCTTCGGCGAGGCGCAGCCGCTGGAAGGCACCCCGAGGCTGGAAACCGCCAAGAACAGACGAAAACACCCGAAAACTCCTTCCCCTTTCCCTGCCATCGCTCGGACGTCCACAGTGCATGTTCCGGTCTCGTGCGTTCAATCATTCGACAGGTGGTCCAAAATGCTCCTCGATGGTCCTTGCCGCGAAAAAATGCACACGTCCAATCGATGCCAAGTTTCTTGCGACCCGCGGAGAAGGAGGTGGCGAGGGGAGATTGTGCGACCGCCAGGGCGGCCCGCCGGCGAACCCCGCGCCGGCACCGATGCCCTGAGCCAGGGACGGGGCGATGACGATGACGATGGCGATGACGATAATGATGACAGAGGGGCAGAAGGGCCCGGGGCGGAGGGGCCCGGGGCGTCCGTGGCAGAAGAGCCCGGGGCGGGGCCTGCTCCTGGAGGGGGTTGCTGTGCTGCTGCTGCCGCTGTGCAGAGTCTGGGCGTGAGGACGCGTACGCTGTTGCTGTTGCAGGTATGGTCCTACAGCTACACACACGGGATGCATGGCATGAATACCTACAACGTGTTTCCGTGCTTAGACGATCACATGTTATTAATATATGCGATGAGTAAACTCGCATGTATGTGTGCGTAAGTGCATGCATACACATGCACATATGCAGACCTTGATATAACGTGTGCGCGTATGCGTTCAGGCAGATGAATGTACATATGCAGGCGTACATACGTACATACACACATACATGCGTACATACACGTACACGTACACGTACAGGCACACATACACGTACACGTACAGGTACACGTACATGTACAAGTCCACGCACACGTACACGCACACGCACACGTACACGCACACTTACACATACACGTACACATACACCTACACACAATAAGCATGTTCACACATTCACGCATTCAGACGTACACATCTACATACATACATATATACATGCATACATAAATACATACATACATACATACATACACACGCACATACATACATACATATATACACACGTGAACACGTTCACGCATACATACATGCATACAGACATGCATGTATGAATATACATATGCATACATGCATGCATGCATGCATGTTTACATACACACACGTGCATACATACATACATGCGTGTGTATGCACACATGCACAAATGCACACATTTAAACATATGACTCTACAAGCATACATACAGGCAGTCATACACCTATCCACGCATCATTTCACACATGCATACATGCATACACATATAACTATACATGCACATGCATACAAACAAACGTACACACATGTGTACCACTTCATAAATACATATACAGATGTACTCCCACATTCATACATACTTACATGCATGCACACATACGTACGTACATACATGCATATGTATGTACATCAATATCCATACACGCACACATACACACACATATATATATATGTGTATGTATGTACACACCTGTAGCTACAGTAAGGATTTCTGCGAGATGACATTGCATAACAGATCACAGCCCGCATTCGACTTCGGTTCCAGTGCGCTCCGGGCTTGGGACGCCATCTCCTGAAGGTGCGTTTGCAATCGTCCTGGGTGAGTCGGGTAGGATGCTCTGCCCTAGGAAGATGGGGATGAGGGATGGGGTGGACGGGGGTTTGGGGGTGAACGTAACGATGTCACGGCACCGCAATACGTGGGAATGCACCAAGCACGCGGCCTCAGACAACGCCCTTGTCGATGCGTAGCACGCCAAGCCGGGAACAAACTGGTGCATGGGAGAACGGACAGCAACGTCGCGGACATGTCCGAACGTCTGAAAACCTCCCTGTACGCAGACTGATGTAACGCACGAGCCGTTTACTTGCAGAGAGCAGGGGAAGGAAATGCCTAAGAACACCCCGAGCCCAATCCTGAATCCACGCTGATATTATTCCAGCGTTTTGTCCACGCTCGTCTTGCGAATGCGGGGGATCATGAGCCCCACTATCAAGCTGGTAGACGCACCTGAACGCCGGGTTCTTTGGCGCATCGCGCTACACCTTTGTGAATCTGGTGCCCACGGTGGCTCCAGAAGGCGTTCGGCTTTTGGCCTCGCGACCCTCCTCCTCCTCGACGTCGTCGAACTCCACCTCTTGCTCCTCTTCCTTCTCCTCCCCCTTCTCCTCCCCGCACGCGTCAATATATCGGGCTCGCCGCAGCGGATTTCAGCGACAGAGCTGGTGGTGCGTGGCGGCGGGGAGCAGATTGGGCTGAGCACATCTGGCTGACGAATAAAAAGACACTGCGCCAACGAGCTGCCACATTCAACCTCTCAGAGACCCGTCACTTGGGATTCTCCAACCGCCAATTCCGACCCGACAGAAAACTGAAGCGCCTCCGAATCGCCAATTCACCACATTGCGTCCAGCACCAAACCGCCCCATGGCTCCTCCCCCTGCAAGCAGAACCTGGCAAAAAAACGGAACCATCTGATATTTTCCAGAAAAGCGGTGTCTCAGGTAGCAGACAGTGCTGCGATATCGCGCCGATGCGAATATTCAAATTTGTTGAAATGTATCTATCATTCAAATTCGCTGGACGCTTAAACTTAAACTTCTGACGGCGGCTGCGCCTAGGCTGGGCGTGGCGGCGGTCACGTGCCAATACTTATGCTCGGCACTTCTGGGCAGTCGGATAGACATCACTGATTTGACTAACCAGCGCCGACCGCGCCAGCGACTTGGTCCTGATAACTACTTCTTGGAGCTGCGAGGTTTCTGCTTGGCGTCGGGGCACGTCTCCTCCCAACCCAGCCGTTTCGCGACGCGCTCGCGCTCCTCCCGGTTCAGGGCGCCCAGTTGGCGCTCCAGTGCACCAAGGTCTCTCCTTAGAGCACCCTCGGAGTCCACCTTCGACTGTGCGTCGGCCTCCAGTTCGCCCCCCTTGCTCTTCAGAGCCTCAATCTGCGTCAGCTTCTTGCGCACTGCTTTGAGCTTCTTCTCAAGCTCAATCTTCTTGTTCGTCGCCTCCTCGATCAGATCCTCCTCGGTCGGGCCCGTGAAGACAGCCTCTGTATGGCCACTCTCGAGAGCGGCGATCTCCTGTTTCACGCGCCACTTGGAGGCAACCTTCGCCTTCGCTTCGTCGTCGAGCTCCGCCTCCTTCTTCTTGAGGTCCGCGATCTGCTGCAGCTTCTTGTTGAGCGCCCTCAGCCGCTTCTCGCGCTCAGCTGCATCTGTCGGCAGACTGACCCTCTCAGGCGCCTTCGCAACCTCCACAGCCTGCACCTCGGCATCTTCGGCCTCGTCGAAGGGCCTGCCGGCCTTGATGGCATCGATCTCCCTCAGGATCCTCGGCCTCGCCGCTGACCTTGGCGGCGGCCGCCGGGCCCAGGTCCCCCCCCTTCGTCTCCAGCTCGGCGATCTGCTTGAGCTTCTTGTGGAGAGCCTTCCGGCGCTTCGGGGGGTCCGGGCCGGCCGGCCCCTCGGCCTGCTCGAGCGGCTCCTCCCCGCCCTCGGCCTCGTCGTCCGAGGCGCACCGCGCCAGCTTCTCCCCCTGCGCGTGCCGCTCCCGCCGCGGCTTCGGCTCCAGGGCCCTCGGCGCCTCGAGCTCCTCCAGCGCCTCTGCTCCAGCTCCGCGGTCTTCTGCCTGCAGAGCAGCCGGGTCTTCGGGTCGAGGAGGCCGCCCATCGCGCCGGCTCCGAGCTGTCAGGGACGGGGCAGACTGCTGCCCTCGCGAATTGACCTTGAGCCAGGAGGCAGGGACCTCTAGCGGCGTGGGCTCCCTGACTCCCCCCCGCGCCCACGTGCGCGCTGAGGGGCAGGAGAGACTCGTCCACTCCTCCAGTGCCGTCTTGGCGGCCGCAGCTCCTGGACCTGGCAAAGCCAGTCAGCAGACGTGCGTACACTTCGGGACGCGACATGGCAGGACCGACGCCCACCGTCCGAGACATCAACGCCATTACAAGACCTCAGTGACGACTTTCATGGGCTGGGTCGCCTGGCCAAGGTCCCGGCCCGCCGGGATATCACAGTACACACATATGCATATACGTGTATAGATATATAGATGTGTTTCCGTATGTTTACGTATATGTACATACACATGTTTGTATCTATGTACATACACGTGGACACCAGCGGTTCTTGCAGCTGGGCAGCACTAGAGCTCAAGAGGCTTCCCGAAGCGACCTACCCGAAAATTCTCTCTCCAAGAATCCCATCTCCGTCTTCCTCCTCCTGCTCCTCCTTGCTTCTCCTTCTCCTCCTCCTCCTCCTCCTGATCCTCACGCTCCTCCTCGTAATCGGCGTCCTCATTCTCGAGCTCCCTCCTCCTTATTCCTCCTTGCTTCTCCTTCTTCCCCCTCCACGCCTCCCTCCACTCCACTCCATCCTCCCTCCCTCTTCCTGCTGTCTATCTATTCTCCGTGTCTTCCGTCCGCAGGAATCGACCAGCCGTCTCCTCCCCACTCCGCCCGCATCCCTCCCCCTCCCTATCCGTATACCACAGCGCCCGCGTACACCGCAACAGCCGTGTGCAACGCAGCGCCTGTGTACACAACAGTGCTCGCGTACACTACGGCGCATGTTTGCATGTGTACACCGCAACTACCATGTGCAACACAGCGCCTGTGTACACCACAAGGCTTGCGTGCACCGCACCGCCTGTGCACGCCACAGCGCGCGTCTACACCACAGCATCCGCGTGCAACGCAGCGCTGGTGTACACCACGACGCCTGCGTGCATAGGACAAGTAGAGAGAGCATGTGCGTGAGGATCTGCTGCGGACAACTAGACGCCACGCCAGGAAAGTGTTGATAATTGAATGCGGTTTTTTTCCCTCCTCCCTCCTCCTCCACCTCCACCACCTCCTCCTCCACTTCCTGCTTCTCCTCCTCATTATTTTCTCCCTCCTCCTCCTCCTCCTCTTCCTCCTCCTCGTCCACCTCCTCCTCTCTACCCCCTGTCGTGCGGGTTGGCGCTACAGCGCACGTGCGCATCCCAGCGCGCACCGCAGAATGGTCGATTGAATCGGTCCACTTGGATCTCGGACGGCCAATTTAGCTGGAGCCTCCTGGGCGGAGATGGGAGGAGTTAACAGTTAGGGTGATGCGGGCGGACTCGGGAGGGCTCGTAGATTCAGGTGGCGCTCCGTTGTCCATAAGGAAGATGTTCCAATGTTTTCTGTGGAATCCACAAGCGTTCTTTTTTGTCATAAAGATTCGTTAACACATGCTATATACAACAGTGGTGGTGTGTTGCAAACGGTTGCTGTGGTGCACACAAGCGCCGTGGTGCGCACAGGCAGCGCAATGCACGCCAACATTGTGGTGTACACTGGTGCTGTGTTGCGCACGGCTGATGTGGCGTAGTGTACGCAAGCGCTGTGGTGTGCACAAGAACCGTTGTGCCCGAAGGCACGGTGGCACAAACTGATAATGTGTTGCACGCGGCTGCTGTGGTGTACATAGACGGTGTGGTGTACACAAGCGCTGTGGTGCACGCAGGCACTGTGGTGTACAAAGGCGTTGTGGTGCAAATCGCCACCTACATGTTGGCGCTACCCGTCCTCCGTCATCCATGGGCATTCCCAGACGCTGCCGGCGCGAAGCGTGACGTGATCGACCCACTCCCCCCGCTTAGATCATTGCCGTCATCGGCCAGGAAAACAAAGAAACTTCAGCCGCGTCCGCGCGCGCGACGACTATGAGAGACGAGCGACAACTCACGAGCGACAAACCACGAGCGACGACCACGACGACGACGACGACAACGACGACGACGACTGCGAAACAGACTCCCAGGCGGATTCCCACGCGGACACCTACGCGGATCCCAGAACGCACGGCGGCAGTGCCCGGAGCGCACTGGGGGGGGAGCGTTACGTCGTAGTGGGGGGAGCGGGGGCCATGAGGCCCGTCATGCCCCAAGCAATAAAAACACGGGCTCTTGGGCATCTTGCGCGGTTTGATGCCAGTTTCTTTGAACATGTCTCTGCTTTTCTTTTGTTATATACGGGTGTAGTAAGGGTCGGAAATTCTGGAATAGGGGGCAGCGCGCGGCCACGCTTAATCGAGGGGGGGGGGAAAGTCGATCGTCGGCGACGGTCGCAACCCGCCTTGGGCGCGGTCGCTGCCCTTCATTACTGAGCAAGGCTGGGGCCGAAGGCTTCCAGTACAGTCGAGTGCTGATGTTGGCCACTCCACTCGGCAATAGAGCTATCCAGCTGTATCCGATAGGTTGGTCCTAAACGTTTGCATGATCGTATGATCGTCAAGGTTCGTAGTGACCCGGCGTACCACGGAGGGCCATTCTTAGGAGGCTGGACGCTAGTCCAAGCTCCTTATCTATTCGAGTGTGTACGCTGAAATGTACATCACATTTATTCTTTCTCGGCGTTACGTGTGCCACTTTGGTCTAGCATTCGCGCAGTCATGGTAGCGACTGTTTTGTTCCGCCATTCTGCCGTCTGGGCGCCTTGGCCGTGCAAATCACATTCATGCACTGTTCTTTCGGCAGGTTCCCCCGCAGCTGGGCGCGCGCACTTCCACGGGTTAGCTGGGATGCGCGCGCGTGTCGCTGCTGCCTGTAATCGCGAGCGACTCGGCAAACGACGCGAGCGATCAAACCCAAGACCGACATGGCAACATCGCATTCACATAACTTGCAAGCCTAAGTCTTCGATGGCATCGCGCACGGGCCCTAGTTTCCAAAAGTAACCTGGGGGTGCCCATGAGCGCGATGGACATGCGCAAGGCCCTAACTTTGACCGTCAGATTCTGGATGCGCTGATAGCGTGGCCCCGCCCGCTAACCAAGCAGTCGCGCATGCCAATCAGCGGGCGTTGCCGCCCATGGGAGTTGATGGCCCCCCAGCAGGCGACTACCCATGCATCGTCTACCCGTGGAGTTCACGACCTCCGCTCGCGTTATACGGTCGCACATGCGTCCGCGGGCTCGGAGTTCAGCGCGAGCTGTTCGTGCGTCCTCGATGGTAAGAGCACGAGAATGATAATGATAAGATGGGCGATCTTTCCCTCCAGCGGACGCGCAGCCAGGTCCGCCGCCGCCCCGTGCGCGCGCGGCCGCCGCCGGGGAAAAGAAAGCAGGTGCCCCCGCGCCTGTGGACAGCGCGTCAGGCGTCGGCCTGTCCAGGCTAGCGCGCGCGGCCGTAGCGCGCGCCTGCTCCCTTCGCTCGCTCTCAAGCGTAGGGGGGTCCACGTGGCCGTCTGGCTCGGGCCCCTGCCTGGGCTCAGCCGCGGAGGCACCTGGTGAAATCGGCGACGCGCTGCTCGAGGTGTAGATATCATATCACTCGGCAGCGCGGCTCGATGCAGCAGGTTGCCCCGCGGTAGCAGGCCGCCCCGCGCGACCTTCCGGCGGCTCCCACTTGGCGCCCTCGTCGCAGATGGCCTGGCACACCTTCGCCAGCAGGGCCCTCGCGGCGAAGACCTGATCCATAACTGTAGGATTGCTGCCGCACACGGTGTTCCTTCGCCACCAGGTCTTCAAGGCGTTGCCCACAATCGCCTCGATCGCGAATGGGGAAGTCTCCTCAAAGATGCTGTGGCTAACACCCCTGGTGTTCTGAGTCATCATGGGCATGCGGGCATCCACAGGAGCAGGTAAACCCGCGCTGCTCGGGGTAAGTCGCCCCGCAATAAGCTCCGCATCTACGGTCTCCGCGATGACGCACCGCAGGGGTGTCTCCGAGTATCCGGGCTTGGCCGTGCTAGTGCATGCCGTCGCTCCATCGGCCTCCGTTGCCCTGGTGGTGTTTGTGCCAGGTCAATCACCCTAGCGCCATTTCCATGGAGGAGCCTGTGCATATCCGTGCCTGGGATGACCATATTTTCGTTGCCTTGCTCAAGAATTAGGGTTGCCCGCATGTTTGCCATGCTCCTCAGGCCCAGGATTGCGGGCAAGATCTCGCCGGACACGTTGGCTGAATAGGTGTCCATCTTGGCTATGACAGTTGCCCCGCAGGATTGCCCTTGGATGCGCGAGCAATCTTGTAATGCGCTGACGTCCTGCACACTGCGGCTCCAGCGCCCGCTCCGGTCACGTGCAATGGTCTGCCCAGGTTCAATCTCTTTGCGTCGTGACCGGAGCAGTTTTCGGACCAATGATGTTCATGTTGCTACCAATGTCCAGGGAAATAGTCATCATCTCGTCGATCGTGGTTCCACTGCTCGATGCTAGGGCCAACACATGACGATAATAGGCCCTGGACGGTGGCCACTGCTGTGCTATGCGTGCCCTGGAGGCCCCTTTGGTCCAATCCCCAGTCGTTTCCCCCATGGAGGTGAATGCGCTCATGCATGCTCGGTTCTCTTCCTCTGTGACTGGATGTTGCTGGAGAGTTCAATCGCAAGGGCATTCATCAGATCGGAAGAGGTACTGCTGCGTCAGTGGGATGTTCTAAAAAAACGTCCTCGTCGGCCCGCACTACGTTCTGGCCATCCGCGCTGACCATCAGCACCGTCTGCAGCACGTCGCGTTCGGACATGGCGCTGGCGCCACTGCGTGCGCTGACTGGGCTGTGAGTTCGGCGCGGGCGTAGCGGGTTATCCCGAATTCTGACGCGAGGCGCGTTAACTCTTTCAACGCGCCGGAGCCAGGCTTCATTGGCAGGTAACCCCGCAGATGCAGATGCAGCATGTGTCCCCGCAGAATCTGGCTCAGCTATAGGCGGCATCTGCGTGTCTGCGGCTGGCGTCGTCGCTGCTGGGTCTGGCCGCGTGCGCGGAGGTGGCGTGGCCGTTGGCAACGGCACATTGCACGCAACAGATTGCCCCGCACGTGCCGCAGGTGTCCCCGCTGCCGCTGCGGACCCAGCCATGACGGCCGTGACCCGACTCAATTATTCACGAAGGTCTCTGAGTTCGTTCGCCCCGCGGAGTATCTCCTCGGGCTGGCTCTCGGCGTCCTGCCTGCCCGCAAGGGCGCAGCGCAACTCAGCCGTGACCAACCCCACGCCGCGGCGCA